CAGAATTGTGTTCAGAAGCACTGAGGACTTGCTGGTGCTGTGTGCTTGATGTCCCTGCCTGGGAGCGGTTGAAATGTCTGGACTGAATTTCCAGACATGCCTGTGAAGAAATCCAGTAACATTCCCATTGTTTCTAAGCTTCCAGTTTTCACCAAGCTCTGGGGGTCTCCTGGCATGGATGCTACTGAAAAAGCCACTGTGGCTGAGGCTTGTGGTTGGGCTCTTGCTCCATCCCACCCATTTCTACAGCAGCATTTCCCCTGTGCTGTGTTGCTGCTCCCTGCAAGGAGGCTCTGCAATACTTCATCTCACTGTTCTGCTCTGCTGTATTGGCCCCAGGTCAGACCTATAATTTCACTGATGCATCCAACCTCTGTCTCAAGTCCCGCTTCTTGCAATGTGGGAATGGTGCTGGAGCCTCGCCTTGGACTGTGTGTCTTCCCCAGCCTGCTATTCGGCTGGTCCAGGCAACCCAACTATGACTGGGATGTGGGCATTATGGGGCTGTGCTCCTGCCACAGCCCTGCCCTAGCAGAGGATGAAACCTCCTTCTGATGGCACCGCTTAAGCAGAAATGACCTCCGCAAGCTGTAGGCAGGAGCTGAGCTTGGAGCCAGGCTTGGCTTTGTGCACAGGCTGCTTTCCTGCATTGCCACAACTGTGACCAAGGCAATGAACCACTGCAGATGTGCACGCAGCAGCCCCAAGCAAACAGCAATCATGAGATATCAGTCCTTCCACCCAGGTAGCTGCCACAAAGAATTCAAATGGGGTGGGCTGTTAACCTCTGTGGCCTGCCAGGCCACCAGGTCCAGCAGGCAGACCCTTGTTCTTGCTGACTAATGCAGCCCTTTCCCATCCTTGTTGCTCAGACACACACTTGTTCAGGTAGTTACCTCCTTAGAAAGACAACATGCTTCCATCCTTCTGAAATGGCCTTGTGAAGAGGAGCATCTTCCCTTGCATTCAGGCTCACTACCTGCAGAAACAGTCACCCAGCAGAGGAGCAGTTCAAAGCCAGGCTTACACGAGTGGCATTTCAGTTTACATGTGTATGTATAGGGAAAGTCGTGTGTGTGTGTGTTTTGCAGGACTCCAGTACCTGCTCTAATGGATATGCAGTTATTTTATGTACAAGTATTTTTCTAGAATGGGTATTGCTTACTCTACCGCTGTATGATTGCACTGTAACAGGTCTGGTCCCTGTGATGCTTCAAAGGCTGGAACTGCTTGTGTACTTCCCCAGCACAGTTGAAAACAAACCACACAGAACTAACAATTATAAATATACAACTTAAAAAAAATACTGTTAAAGATTTATTGCAATAATACAATAAAATTTAGAAAAAAACCCAAACTGTTTGTGTTTAGTTACATCGAGTTCTGAAGTTGCAGAGGCCCAAAGTTTCTGCCGGTGACAAGCAACTCCTGGGTGTCCCACCTGAGCCCATATGAAGGCACCTGATTCTCAGCAGAGGGCTGAGCTCTCAGCATCAGGTTCTTCCTTGGCAGCTCAAATTGGCCACGCCAGATCGCTGCTCACAGACAAAAGTCATGGCCTGAACTGCACTTCCCGCATTCATGCTACGCAGAAGTGCTGTGTAAACTTGGTAGTCCGTCTTCAGGTATCTATAATTACAGATATTCCTGCCCTCCCTCCCCAGAACCACCTGGAAAACTAATACTGGCGACTGCACTCAAGGTGCACACGATTCTTCCCTAGCTACATATGTGCAAAACACTTTTTAAAAGAACAACCCCCAGTCTGTTACAAAAGATGAACAAAAGACCCATCCCGCTGCATCTGAATGCCCTTGCAGTGCTGGTGTGCACTCTAAGTGCGTGACAAATAAAATAGTTGGAAAACATGGTCATGTAGTATATGGCTTAAAGAAGTTTGTGTGTTGGGTTTTTCTTTCCCTAGTAAAGTAAATGACAGCGTACAAAGCTGAATCACGGCCTGATGTTTAAAGGCTTCAAAGTAGCATGAGAGGCAGCAATGAAAATGTGACTGAAATGCCTGTTAAAAACAAATGAAAAAACCCAAACATATTTATATGGCAGGGTCCAACAGAAAAAAAAATGGGGAATCAGAAAGGGTAGGACTGAGGGGGACATTACCTAACAAAATACATGCAGTGAGTGCAGAGTTAAGGGTCTTTGGTTTAAAAAAATTAAACCATTGACAACAGATTCACATCCCCAAAGAGCTGCCGTACAACAGGGAGCAGGGGTCTAGAGACAGGATGCTGAGCCAGCACCCCTGGCATGGAGCTCACTGGGATACACAGGCATTGGGTACCAAAACTGCTTTTCCACCCCATTCTTGGTGGGGACAGGAGGCAGCCATAGCTGGCCTGGAGCGCAACAGAGCAGAACCACCCCAGAATACTCCATGAGATGGCCGGGTAAGCCAGCCCCACAGCAGGGTTTCAAAGATTCAGGACACTGCCTGGTGGCAGGGATGTGGCTTGTGCATCACCTGCCGTGGCCTTGCGTGCCCCTGTTACGAGCTGCAGCACTGCAGGGATGCAACAGGGAAGCGTCGGAAGTCTTCCCTCTGGGAGGGATGGGAGGATGCTTTTACTTTAATTTACCCCGTGGAGAAGTACAACGTCCCAGCCATAGAAAATGTAAACCATACGTTGGCAGCCCCGCTGAGCAAACCCATCTTTATGTCATCCATACCGCAAGGCAGAGGAAGTGGAGGAGCACTTGCTAACAAATGCTTCTGTCAGTATCGCACCCCTGCAGTTTTACAAGCGAGCCACCAGCTGTGCTGTGGGCATTTCTGCAGTGAAATGAAATCAGCTTCTTGGCATTCAGTAAACAAGAAGAGAAACAACCCACCATCGACATAAAATAGAATAGGGTTTAAAACGCATGTAGTGTGTGACTTCATCAAATTAGCTCGAAATGAGGTTTTGCTAACAGTAAAAAGTGGCAACATGATGCTGTAACTGATGAATATTATTGCAACAACACAATCCTGTGTCTGCATCAAACGTGGGTCTAAGCTAAGAGAACATCCAGTGTTTCTTTGGTGTATGACATTGAGAGTAAAGAGCCTGTGTGCTTTGGACAGCACAACACAAAACTTCTAGACTACCTACCAATGGAAACAGCATGAAACAAGCCAGTTTTCTACAGCAAAACTGGATAAAAGTTCACAACTGAAGCTAAAACAAGAACAATTGGCTGTGTGAATTCCTCTCCGCACTGCTTCTTTGTATTAAAAATATGGCAACAGAGATTAGAAAACATGTTAAAAATGCAAAATTTTCATGTCCTGAATGACAAAAAATTAGAAATACGCATTTCTGCATTATGCAAGACAGATTTAAAACACACACAAACGGAAACCCTGTAAGCAGTTAAGAAAATGTGAACTGCATTTGCACCACTGTCCAGGCTGCACAGAGAGCAGCCTTCTCTCTGTATTCATCCTGATGCAAACACTTCAAAACCTGTTTCTTCTTTAGAAAGTAGAGCTGGAGGCTGACGAGTCCTTTTTCTTCAGGAGAATCATACAGAATCATAGAATAGTTAGGGTTGGAAAGGACCTTAAGATCATCTAGTTCCAATCCCACTGCCATGGGCAGGGACACCTCACACTAAACCATGCCACCCAAGGCTCTCTCCAACCTGGCTTTGAACACTGCCAGGGATGGAGCATTCACAACTTCCTTGGGCAACCCATTCCAGTGCCTCACCACCCTTACAGGAAAGAACTTCTTCCTTATATCCAATCTAAACTTCCACTGTTTAAGTTTTAACCCGTTACCCCTTGTCCTGTCACTACAGTCCCTAATGAAGAGTCCCTCCCCAGCATCCCCATAGGCCCCCTTCAGATACTGGAAGGCTGCTATGAGGTCTCCACGCAGCCTTCTCTTCTCCAGGCTGAACAGACCCAACTTCCTCAGCCTGTCTTCATACGGGAGGTGCTCCAGCCGCTGATCGTCCTCGTGGCCCTTCTCTGCACTTGTTCCAACAGTTCCATGTCCTTTTTATGTTGAGGACACCAGAACTGCACACAATACTCCAGGTGAGGTCTCACGAGAGAAGAGTAGAGGGGCAGGATCACCTCCTTTGACCTGCTGGTCACGCTCCTCTTGATGCGGCCCAGGATACAGTTGGAGTTCTGGGCTGCAAGCGCACACTGAAGCCGGCTCATGTTCATTTTCTCATCGACCAACACCCCCAAGTCCTTCTCCACAGGGCTGCTCTGAATCTCTTCTCTGCCCAACCTGCAGCTGTGCCTGGGATTGCTCTGACCCAGGTGTAGGACCTTGCACTTGGCATGGTTAAACTTCATGAGGTTGGCATCAGCCCACCTCACAAGCGTGTCAAGGTCCCTCTGGATGGCATTCCTTCCCTCCAGGGTATCAACCGAACCACACAGCTTGGTGTCATCGGCAAACTTGCTGAGGGCGCACTCAATCCCACTGTCCATGTCAGCGATGAAGATGTTGAACAAGACCGGTCCCAACACCGATCCCTGAGGGACACCACTCATTGCTGGTCTCCAGCTGGACATTGAGCCATTGACCACAACTCTGTGTGCGGCCATCCAGCCAGTTCTTTATCCACTGAGTGGTCCATCCATCAAATTGATGTCTCTCCAATTTAGAGACAAGGATGTTGTGTGGGACAGTGTCGAACGCTTTGCAGAAGTCCAGGTAGATGACATCAACTGCTCTATCCCTGTCCATCAGTTCTGTAGCCCCATCACAGAAGGCCACCAAATTGGTCAGGCAGGATTTCCCCTCAGTGAAGCCATGCTGGCTGTCACCAAGCACCTTGTTGATTTTCATGTACCTTAGCATGCCTTCCAGGAGAATCTGCTCCAAGATTTTGCCAGGCACAGAGGTGAGACTGACTGGTCTGTAACTCCCCAGGTACTCAACAATGCAGACAGAACCAAGACACAAAAGTGCCGTCACAGAATCCGTCAGAGTCCGTAGCTAGCTAATTTACAAAATGGTACCATCACAGTCATCTTGGGTAAATAAAAAGGTTTTTCTGGTTTACAAAATGAAAGTCTGACCTTTTCTTTGTTCCAGGCACTACTTAACTGAATACGTAAGGTTTACTACAGCATTGCTGGGGAGGGATTCCTTCCACAAATCCTATGATCCTTTTGCCATGCTTGTTAGCGATGTCCAGTGTATGCCTTCAGCCACGAGGTCACTGAGGCGGCAGCAGAAGAGATCATTCCACCAGCACTGCTGCTGGCAATGGGCTGAGATACCTGCGTGCTCTGGCTCTGCAGCATCTCCACCTGCTGAGAGGGGATGTCACAGAACCTGGGGCTTGGCAGATTCTCCCAGTCTGTCCCTAGGTCTGTCTCTTCATCGCTGATGTGCTCATCTCCGCTCTCATCTGTCTCACCAGTGGCACTGGGATCCACAAACTCCATGGAGTCTTCAAGATCAGCACTGATTTCGAAAGGCCCAGACCTGTGAACATGAACACAGTTTGGTACCATGCAAGAGAGGCACTGTCCATTTGCCTGTATGAGTCCTGGGCATGCCAAAGCACCCTGCTCTACCATGCGTACAGCAGAGGAATTACAACACCTCTGTGTCTATCATTTGGCAAAGAGAAACCCACTGGCTACAGAGCTAACTGTAGACAATGGTGAAATGAGAACAGTTGGCTGAGGAAGTGATAGCTGGGTTCCAAACCACAGAGCAAGAACAGCAGAAGAGATGTTCTGCTTTGGCAGGGGATAGTGAAACATGTACACACAAAAGAAAAAGCTATTGATAATAACTCACAGCTCCACTGGTGGAAATCTCAGCTTGATGGGGAACAGCTTTTATTTTTAATGCTAGGCCTGGCCAGGCCAAGACAGCTGCAGCTTTGTCAGCAAGAAGAGTGTAGTTTACAGCTTACAGAACTGTGCTGGCACAGCTCACTAGTGGAGACTTCCCATTGCAGCACTTCACCCTGAGCAGCATCTCAAGACCTTTTTTACTATGCAGCTGGTCAAATGCTGGCAGAGGTTGCCCAGAGAGGCTGGGGAATCTCCTCTGGAGATACTTAAACCTCTCCTGGCCACTCGTCCTGAGCAACTTGCTCTAGTTGGCTCTGCTCTGAGTGGAGCCATGGGCTGGATCTCCAGAGGTCCTGACCAAACCCACCTGTGCTGTGACTCCATATTCCCTGCTGCCACTGCCTGGTGGGAGAAGCAATTGCATCCCACCCCATCCCACTGCTTGGCCAAAAGCTGGAACACCTTTACTGAGCCAAAGCAGGCAGTTCCAGAGGTCAGAGAGGTGATCATGGAGGCGGTGAAAGGTGGATCCCCCACAGCAAGCAGTATCCCTGGCAAAGTTCATTCCAAAGCACAAAGCTGCTCAGCAAAACAGGAGTAAGAATTTAACATGGGTAGTAAGAGTACTTCTCCAGCCTTAGTGGGACAGGGAACCTGAATCAGTGATTTACCATGGAAAGTTTTAATCCAGACAATTAAAGCTTGGTAAAATTATATGTATCTGAAAACAGCAGCTTATAAAGGAGACTATCAGGTAACTATAGGCTTAGATATCTAAAGGAAAATAAGGAGAGCTGGTTGCTGCAAACTTTGCAGACAGCTGAGAAATCATAACCCAGAAAGGAATGGGAGCGCTGCCTTCTGTTAAGCATTTTGTTTAACAAGGCAACATAAGAAGAGAGTCATCAGGTTTAAGACCAGAGGGACCATTAGATCATCTCCAGTGACCTCCTCTCTAACAAAGGCCATTACTTTCTACCCGTTCCCCCTGTCCTTTGCCGAGTAACTGCCCATTAGCCTGATGAAAGCATCCATTCCAGAAACATATCCAGCCTTGACAGGATGACATAAGGAAACAGAGAATCCCCACCTTCATTCTTGTGGGTGATTAATCTCTGTGTTAAGCACATTTGCCCCGTTGAAACCTAGTTCAGACTATTTGCTTCCACTGGTGACTATAAAGCCATTTGCTAGCCTGTATTTTATTGCCATGAAGGCATGTAAAACAAGTCAATCTCATCCCTAGCAAGCTAAGTCAGTTTCATACAGACTAAACTATACCCTTGCTGATTGATGTTTTCTCCAACTCTTCTCTGTAACCTCTGGGTTCACTACATGGACCTGACTGATGCGTGGGGAGCTCTGTAACATCTGCACAAAGAAATGAGACCCACAATGGCACTTGGACCTTTTACAACAGTTCTTCATTCTCTGGGTATTTCCTGCACTCTCCTTGTTTTCAGGGGCACAGCAAGCACCTATTTTCTTCCAAACTGAGCTATGCTACAAAGATTTGGCTCCCCATACCTTTGGGCTGAATCAGTAGGGCTATACCCAGAGAACATAAGGGAAGTGATGTTCTCCTTAGTGGTACTGAAGGTTTTTAAATAAAACTAGATCTGTACATGAGAACAAAAGTAGATTTTGGAACATTACTAAGTTTAAGGGGAATAAAGCACTAGTCAGATTAAACAAATATTTGCAGACTGTCTCAGGCACAAATGACTTGTGATGGGATTATCCCAACAGGAAATCAATGTTGTAAAAAAAAGATTATTAAACATGGTGCGCTCAGCCCACAGGAACCGATTTTCTTTTCATCGTGTACTAACAGCAGCAAAGTTGACTTTAATCTTAATTTACATATAAATTAATATTATTTGAAGTGCCGACTTTGGTCTAGGGTGTTCACTCAGTGGAAGTATTTTGGGGAAGGCTTACCTAGTGTTTGTTTTAGGGTTTAAACTGCTGGATGCTCTCAGTATTTACCTGAGATGTGGGTAGGGTGGTACTTGGAGCACAGTGGGACTGCCTGGCACACATACTGCTGTCCCCTGGAGGGAAGGAGTTTCTGCGTCTGAGCATACAGGAAACAAGCCTATAATCAGCTACATGGCCTCCAGAAGAGCCTGCCACATGCAGCAGCACAGCACACACATCTCTGAAATCTGATTTCCTACTCGGGACCCCCTTTTTCTGTCCTCTCTTGTCTCCTCCTTGTAACCACCCTGATTTCTGATGTGCTGAGGACTGATCTATAGCAGATGAGAAGAATTTCCCTCCTAAACAACAAGGCAAATGCATTACTCCAAACAGGATTCAGTCACAGGTGAGTTGAGATACTGTTTTTCTTACCTGCCCAAGTTCTTGGTGTCTGGGCTGACCAGGTACATAAGGTTCCTGAGCGTATGCAGTGGGTGCAACAGATCTAAATTTACATGCTACCATGTGGAAGGTAAGAAAGAGACATGGTCAGTTACAATGGGAAACCTGCAGGCACAGCTGATCTTTCAAAAGCTCTTTAGAGAATCCCAATGGGCATTTCCCATACCTGAGAGAAGCAAAGGTGCAGGATATTAGCATTCAACTTCTTCACTGCCCGTGTGAACCTGTGTCTGCTGAGATTCTCTCCACAGAACTCACTATTGAAAGACCATACACACGTATACATGAATAGACAGAAAGCACAATGCTGTGAAAATACACTCTCTGGAGACATCAGCATTCTGTGTCCTGACTTCCTAATAAACCCCAGAGTAAACACGCTCAAAGTGAGCACTTGTTTAAACTGTACAGCCAGTTTGAGAGTGTTTAGGAGGTTATTTTTTCAGCTAGCAAGACTGTTAGCATTTCATCAACCAGCACTGCTTGTGCTAGTCTCACCCACTTCAACAGGACAGGTGTATGAAACTCAAAGATCCACTGTAGCCAAGCTATTCTGGCTCTCCTTTTAAATCCTGCATCATTTCCTGTTCCCAAGCTTTTCCTTCTGTGAAGGCTCAGCTCCCAAGTAACAGTATAAACTCCCCACACAGAGACCCTACACAACTTTTGTGCCCTCAATTCGGCAATCACTATATTAAACACTTAAAAGAATCTCAGCAGCATCTTTGAGATCCCAGAAAGACTGAACAGGTCTACAGCTCCCTCAGTACTTCTGTACAGACTCCATCTATTCCACATTGACATTAAAAATCTAACAGTGCTTTTCATCATGGGATTTACACAACACTCTCCCAGCTGCCTGGCAGCCAGCTATGCTCCCCATTGGCATTTTATCCCCAAAAGAATCACACTGCTACCATGCCATTATAAAGCCTTGTTCTGCAGCACTTAATGTAGTGGAGCTATTCAATATGACTAAGGGTTGCTGAATTGGTCTGGGATTTTGTAAAGCACAGTAGGGTCTCATAAAATGAAAGTGCTATTCATGGATGTCATATTTCATTTCCAGTTTGAGGATGCTGAATATGTCAATTAGAAAGCTATTATTTTCAACTATGGCGGCTGGTCTACACTCTCAGGAGGTAAAAAAGGAAGGAGGCACTGTGGACTGTGGTCTAAAACCCTACTAGTCCTCCACTCCAAATTAAACAGCACAAAAATCCACGAGATATCAACTGGTACCACAAAGCTGTTCCAAGCAATGACTTTGTTCCCAAACCCAAACAGAATTAAGATCAGTCAAAACTAGTCACTGATTCACCTCAGAGGCTTGCATTTACTTGCCTGTTGCAGAGCTTCTTGGGAAGATTTACATCAAGTATGAGAGACAAAGTGTTAACAAGCTGAGTTGCATAGCACAATGCAGCACTGATAGTGTAAGCAGGGTTATTATGTTCCGTATCTGAAAGAAATAAAAGCATCATGAAAGTCTCATTTTAAATGAAGCCTCAGTGGATGTGTCAATCTGTTACTGAAGTCTACTCTGGAAAATGTCATTTGTGAGTATTGTGAATAGCCTGAATTCAACAATTATTTACAGTGACATCTGTCAGAAGTTGGTAGAAAATAGTAATTCTTGGGATTCCTGTTAAAATGACGGCATGTGAACCATGTCAAAACTGTGAATAATTAACTTTATCTATTACATTGTGCTGTGTCCCAGTGAGCATTTCCTGCAAAAGAGGATTTCAGTGGACTAATCCTTATACTGGTGTTTATTTCTGATTCAGGTTTGTCTGGGTGAGAACAAAAGGGCTGGGCTACTGCTCCTCAGTTGCCTTCTGCTGGCATCCAAGGCTGCAAGTTCTATAGCTTCTGGAGTATCCCAGATGTCTAATCAGACCTTGCTCCTTACCCGGTCCTTGTGTAGTCTTCTTCTCTTCCACCCAGTTGTAATATGCTGAATAGTCTCCATTATTAGGAAGGGTTATCCAAGGCCCTGTGATGCTGATGCTGGTGTCCCCATTGTGATCATCACACACCCACCTCCCAGAGAGATATGTGGTTCTCCTGGCTTCTGCAAGCTTGCTCACAGTGCTAGAGGTCATAGCATTGTCGCTCTCAGAAGACACATCTGCAGGATCTCTGTAACACCCAAAGAGGAACGAAGTGTTTTTAAAGAAGTGTTAAAAATACAGTCAGAGATACACTTGGCAGGCACTTCACCAGATTTCACAGAGAGCAAAATCTTCTAGAAACACTCCTGCAAAATTCCTCATTCCCAAAACTACTTCCCTTTGTTCCAGGATTTTTTATTTTACTTACCTATTTTATCTATTTAAGTTTACAAATTTATCTATTTTAAGAAAGTTTAACATTGGACACATTCCTCAGCTCTCTTCTGGGGGAGATGCTAGCACCTCCAGATTCTTCTCCTCTGGACCTCTGTTTTTTGGGTCAGATGCTTTGCCTTTGGGAAACACCTCCTCCTCCCCACAGATGCTAAGGGAGCCAGAGTGTCTAGCTTAGACTTACATGACTCACTTCTGGGTGTCTAAAGCTAAGTCAAATTAATCCAAAAGGATAAGCCTACTATACCTCATGCTTGTCTTTACTTCTTCAATGGGAAATATGACTGATGTTAGTTCTAGGATATGCATCCGACGAAGATTTGCCAGATGCTCATACTGGGTTTTCAAGTCATAGACTTTTTTCTCTACCAAGTCTCCCAGCTTGTGGTTATGCCTCTGGATCTTCTCTTTCTTCTCCTGATGCCGCTGAGCCCTGCGATAATGTTTCTGGTTCTCCTCTTTAATTCTGAGAAGCCCCTCTGCATCTGTGAAAACGGCAGCAGATGTTAGCCTTGAGAAAGGAACTATGAGGTACTTGTAGTAAGCCTGAGAAAAGCATTAATATTCATAGCAAACAAGATCTAGAACAGCTTAAAGCAGAAAACCCTGCTAAACTATTCACGTTTTCCAGCTGCTCCGTGGTACAACTTTTTAATCTTTTCTGAAGATCTCCAGAGAGACTGAAATTGACTATTCTTTCCCTATCTTTTACCCAGCTATTTTTTGATTTAGAGCAGAAAAGCCAGGATCTCACAGTTTAATTAAACTTCTGAGGTAATCATCACGACAGAAATAGCTTGACTGTACATGTTTGCATGGTGTTGGCCAAAAAGACAGGCATTGCTTGCAGCCAAAATCAAGAGCTGATATCATCTTCATTCACCATTTCTGGCATCACTGCTGCTATTAATGAATGGTGCTTGGGCTTTGCATTCATGTGTGTGCTCTTAAAGCACTTGGATCCCAATGATGCAGACTTTGTGTTACCACAAGGGAACACTGACTGTCTCCCTTTCCAGTCACAAAATGAGAAATCACAGAATCACAGAATGGTTTGGGTTGGAAGGGACCTCAAAGCTCATCCAGTTCCAACCCCCCTGTCATGGGCAGGGGCACCTCCCACTAGAGCAGGCTGCTCCAAGCCCTGTCCAACCTGGCCTTGAGCACTGCCAGGCACGGGGCAACCACAGCTTCTCTGGGCAACCTGTGCCAGCGCCTCAGCACCCTCACAGTGAAGAACTTCTTCCTGATGTCTAATCTAAATCTCCCCTCTGTCAGTTTAAAGCCATTGCCTCTTGTCCTATTCCTACAGGTCCTTACAAAAAGTCCCTCTCCAGCTTTCTTGTCAGTCCCTTTAGGTACTGGAACTTGCTCCAAGATCTCCCTGGAGCCTTCTCCAGGAATGAGTTTATGTACTGTACAGTTCTGCAACTGCATGAATTTACTCCATGCGCCAGACACACTATAGCTTAGAAAAATATCCTTCAAGAGCACCTGCTTATTCTCCTATACAATAACTGACCGCAGTAATGCTTCCACAAACATGAGGTGCTAGAGTCAGCCACCTCTGTCCTTCAAAGGCGCACAAAAATATTCCCCAAATACATGCCTAAAACTCTTAGTGTCAAAACCCTAGTTTGAACAAAAGCCCCCATCTGCTAGGTGCTCACTTCCTGGTGTTATGGCTGAAAAGACAGAGTGTTAGTCAGATTCTATCAGAGCAAGGCATTACTTTCTTTTAATCAAGAAGTGGGATAACTGTTCCTTGCACAGGATAGAAGCACTAAGCCCTGACATCGTTTTACTGATCTAGGTTGATTGCAAGGCACAGATGAGATCAGAGTTACAGTAAGAATTCTCTGTGGCACCTGCTACTCAAAAAAGCTGCATTCTATTATTACTAAAATCTACAAAAGTTATAAGCAGCTATAGTTATCTCAAACAACAGTCTGTCAGTCTTTCCACTAGGGGAGGAATAAAAGGCTACATCCAAAGACTGGGACCCAAGACTGATTCCCATCCACAGGTCTGTGCCCAGCCATGCTCAGGTGGCACACGATAGCCTTCTGTTAGTCCTGGCTTGCACCTGCAGAGCTGGAACTGGTTGGTCCCTTGCCTAATAGGGTGGGAGACCAGGATTGCTGGAAGCCTCCTGAGTATGCTTGCCCTTGCAGACACAGAGGGTGCTTTCTCTGAACGTCAGGAATTATTTCTAGTCATCTAACTGATCTGTTGCCATCCGTGATGTGTGCTTGGTAAGAAGAAAGATCTGACATGTGGGAGATGCAGAGTCCCAAATTAAAGAAGGTGAGAACAGCTTCTCTGTGCAGATAAGAACTAATAATCCTTAGGTTTATAAAATAAATGACCTCCTGTTAGAGGAATGTCATGGTTTAAACCCAGTCAGGCAGCTCGTTAACTCACTTTCCCCCCTTCTTTCCCTCCCCCTACTCCCAGAGGGACGGAGAGGGGAATCGAAAAGAATGCAACTCCCACAGGTTGAGATAAGAACAGTTTAGTAACTAAGGTATAACACAAATCACTACTGGTACCACCAATAATAACAATGATAAAGGAAATAACAAGGGAAGAGAATACAACACCTCAGCACCAGCCGACTGATAACTCTCCCCTCCCCCCAGCCCAACCAAGCACCGACCCATACCTCCTGAACCCTGCAGTCTCCCAGCCCTTCCGGCTAACTCCCAGTTACATCCTGGGCATGACGTGCTGTGGTATGGAATACCTCTTTGGTCAGTTTGGGTCAGGTGTCCTGTCTCTGCTTCCTCCCGGCCTCCCCTCCTCCCTGGCAGAGCATGAGGCTCACAAAGTCCTTGGCCAGACTAAAACGATCAGTGTTATCAGCTCTGTTCCCAGGCTGAAAGTCAAAATCACATCACTGCACCAGCTACTAAGAAGGAGAAAAATGACTGCTACCGCTGAACCCAGGACAAGGAACCATAGAAAAATCAACTTTTCTTTGAGCGACACCAAGAATCCCTGTATGCCAGCTAGTTATTCAGCCTTCATTAAGTATTCCCGTAACATTAATAGAAAATCAGTTAATGCTTGCATTCATATTCCCAAACTCCCCCTTTGCATAAAGAATAAGAGACAGAAGAAGAGTAAAATGTCCATCTGCTCAATTTTCACATTCCTGTTCATAGAGTGAACTCCCTTTTCTGCAGGTCCAACAGCAATTATTTGAGAAGCAGGCAAGAACACTGCACACACACTTCCTCTTTAGTAGTCCCAGTGCAGAAACAGCTGTCCTTTTTTTGGCATAGCACTTTTGCTTTTTGATCCAGTTAATGAGGTGATTAAAATTTGTCCCCAGAAGTATTTCAGGACACCTCTATGTCTCACACATCTACACTGGCTGATGAATGCAAGCTTGGCCACACCGCCATCTGCCCAACAGAGCGCTCTGCCAGGTATGTGCAAGATCGTCACCTTGAACTCTTCTCCACAGACAGAAGGCAAACACATGTATTTTAAAACCTTACTTGAAGAAGTACCACTTATAGAAGTGTCCAGAAGAGACAACTCAAAAGCAGGAATCCAGTGTACTAGAGATGGTTCTTATTTCAGGTAACTAAACTATGCCGTACCCAATAGAAGAGAAGCAACCTATTTACATTTTCTAATGTGCTCAAGAGTGAACCAAGTTGGGTTTCTGAACTCCACTTCCCAGTTAGTCCCAAAGTTTTACCAGCTGCAGAGCTGCATTTTGATAACAGGTGACTAAGGTCCTTGAAGTCATATTGACTTCCTCCTTTCTTCACAGGGTAATGAGAAAAAGTAGTTTATTGACTTCATAATATTATTCAATGTACTGAAAAGCTTGCTTCTGTTCACCTTCCTATTCTCTAAACCAAATTTTCCTAGATGTTCCTTGTGTTTTATTCCTAATATGCTCCTCCAGACTTTCTCCAGTTGATTTTCAACTTCCTTAAATAGCTCAAATTGGACACCAGACCCCCACTGAGGAAACACCAATGCTGGGAACAGCAGGAAAACTACTTCTACCTAAAATACAACACTTAGGCTAGGATAACCCAGAATGAGGTCTGAACCTTTCTGAAGCAGTATTAGATTGATAATTTTTATTTAAATTGTAATTCATAGAATCATAGAATAGTTAGGGTTGGAAAGGACCTTAAGATCACCCAGTTCCAACCCCCCTGACATGGGCAGGTGTCGTGGTTTAAACCCAGTCAGGTAATTCGTTCGCTTACTTCCCCCTCTTTCTTGCCCTCCCCCTGCTCCCGGAGGGACAGAGAGGAGAATCGAAAAGAATGCAACTCCCACGGGTTGAGATAAGAACAGTTTAGTAACTAAGGTATAACACAAATCACTGCTGCTACCACCAATAATAATAATGACAAAGGAAATAACAAGGGAAGAGAATACAACACCTCAGCACCAGCCAACCGATAACTTGCCCCCCTCAGCCCCACCAAGCACCGACCGATACCTCCTCCAACCCTGCCGTCTCACAGCCCTTCCGGCTAACTCCCAGTTACATCCTGGGCATGACGTGCTGTGGTATGGAATACCTCTTTGGTCAGTTTGGGTCAGGTGTCCTGTCTCTGCTTCCTCCCGGCTTCCCCTCCTCCCTGGCAGACCATGAGGCTCACAAAGTCCTTTGCCAAACCAAAACATCACTATCAGCTCTGTTCCCGAGCTGAAAGTCAAAACACTGCACTGCACCAGCTACCAAGAAGGAGAAACATGACTGGTACTGCTGAACCCAGGACAGCAGGGACACCTCACACTAAACCATGTCACCCAAGGCTCTTCCGACCTGGCTCTGAACACTGCCAGGGATGGAACATTCACAGCTTCCCTGGGCAACCCATTCCAGTGCCTCACCACCCTAACAGGAAAGAACTTTCTCCTTATATCCAATCTAAACTTCCCCTGTTTAAATTTTAACCTGTTACCCTTTGTTCTACCACTACAGTCCCTAATGAAGAGTCCCTCCCCAGCATCCCTATAGGCCCCCTTCCTATAATTCCCCTGATCCTCTCCTGTCAAATCTCACCACTGTCCCCTGCTTTGTGTTTGTATGTTTGTCTTTCCTAAACAATGTGCAATTGACTTTGTCCTTCTCAGATGACGCTGTCAAGTTATCTGCACGACTTTGAATTTGATCCTGTTTTCCACAGAAGCCGTATCATCATCCACCTTGGCTTCCTGCATTCTACCTTCTATTTTACCATACAAGATATTATGGAAAATATTGAACAAAAATGGGCCAAGAACCAGCTCCTGCTGAGCTCCACCTGTCTCACCTCCTCAGTTTGACAAGCATCATCACCCTCTGAATGCAGCCTTTCTGCCCTTTTGTGTCAATCTTACAGTGATTACACCCAGAGCAAATGTTTTTGCTTGCTCATGAGATGGTTTGGTGTAGTGCCCAAAGGCAAGGCATGTTGCATCTTCTGCTTTATCCTTCACGTGATCCTCAGACAAGGGGTTGATTTGACATGGACCATTCTTAACAAAGCAATGCCTATTTTTAATTACATTACCTTCTAGCTACTTGCAAAGTGACCAAAGGTTTATAATAACATGACTGTATCACCAGTTTAAGGTTCTCCCTTCCTCCACCCTTTGAAAACTGATACTGTTTTCACTCGGTTTCCTGGGACATGCTCTGTCCCATGTGTTCTCAAGTCCTCCACAGACAACTACAGCTTGTTCCTTAAGTTCCCTAAGGAAAATCTCATAAGGCCTTGCTGCCATAAAATAATATTTAGCTGGCTGTTTTCTTTCCTCAGTGTGCAGTCCTCCTATGATGTAAAATTTAACCTGGCTGAGCAGCTGATCACATTTCTTTGTGAGAAGATGAAGCAAAAAAGACAATGAATGCTTCAGACTTCTCTGCACTGTTATTTACTGTCTTTCCAGTTAACTAACAGACTTATCTACTTCATCTTTTTCTTATTTTACATTTCTTATTGTTACTATCCATCCTCATTAATTGAAACCATTTTGCATCTCAGCCTTTCTGATGTTATCATCACATGTTTGTGCTATTCCTTTATAACTATTGTCAAGTACATGCCTCTGCTTTCACTCTCTCTATGGCTCATTTTGAATTTCAAGTCATAAAAACATTCCTGATTCAATCAATATGCTTTTGAATATGTTTCCTATATTTCCTTTGCACGTAGGCTGTAAAGAGTGCTGCACATTCTCTTCTGAAAAATGGTCCTACAAACCTCTCATGAGCAAAAAATCTAATGAGTTTCAAAACAGAAGCTGCTGACAGAGAGCAACTCCCCAGCCTATGCCATATTTCAGTGGCTCTTGCTCTAGTAGGATTTTAGCATTTCTAGACAGGTGTGGGTTAAAATTCATCAGTACATGAAATTCCTAACAGCTGCAGAGCCATTTGCCTCCTCTTTATCAAGAGGAAGTGATCAGGAACACCACACTAAATAAAGCCATCTCTAGGGACAAAGCCAAAGTCACAGGCTGCTAAGCATTTACTTTTAAAACTGTTGCAAAATGATTGCCATCCAGCTGAATAATGTCTACTGTTTGCTAATTAAAACCCAAGCATGAAAAGGCTAAAATCCACTCACCGATTTGCCTTCAAGTTGATTTAAGAAGTGACTGTTTGAAAATTCATCATTTTTAAAACCTTAAGATTCAAATTCACATCAATTGATTTTTCACTCTAAGGCACACAGTTTCCCACATTGCAAAAGCACAGGCATTACTCACATCTTGTCATTTCATCATTTTCTTTGCAAATGGTCTGTTTCAGCTGCTCAATCCTCATCTTGCAAGACATTATTTTCCATCTCTGAAAAAGAACATTCAGCAACTCTAGGGTAGAAAAGACTTCAAACACACTGACTAATGATTAACAACAAAACCAGCAGCTCTAGTGCAAAAGTAGCAAGATGTTCTTAATTGATCATATGAACAAATAAATATTTCATATGCTGTTTTGTGCACAGAAGAATGCCACAAACAAACTGAATGCCGAGTATAAAGTCAATCAGAATAAGTTATTGAACAAATATCTGATAAGAAACGAAAAGAGCTTGGAGCACTCTGCTTGCAGAGCCAATTTCAGTTGTGCTTACAACAAGATTTTTGGGAAAGCAACACAATACCCTCAAGGTAAATTGTAACTTTAAACTATGAGATCTAGGAATTCAGAGAGTTTAAAAACTATGGGTCACTTTGAATAACTCACCAGCTGATCAGTTATCTCTTTCCCTTCCATGGCCTTCAAAACACTAGAGGAAAAAACATGATTGAAAGTTTTATGACTATCTGGACTGGGTCTGTCTCCAGCAAAAGCACATTAGAGAAACTGTTTTGTTTTTCTGACAGTTCTTATAGCTTATTTTCATTTAATAACTACAACTTACTGCTTTTGGAATTCTTTCTGTTTGGTTTTAAGACGCATCAGCCTTTCTTTCTTGTCTGAAAACCTAGAAGAGATTAAAGGGTTTAATTGGTATTTTCACAATATGGCATTACAAGTTGTCTGAAAAGCGAAAAAGACCAAAGCTTGTGACAGACAGCCTCTAAACTGCAGCTTTCTGGCTTAGTCTTAGGAAATAATGGCTAAATGTATAAAACTCGCAGAATTCTACAGCACATGTCTCATTGGAATTGCAACAGAACCTCCAAGCTAAGGAAACATCAGCTTGTTGTATTAGCAAACTTGTAAGCAAATTGCTTACTATTTCTAGAAGTTTTACAGCTTAGTAACATCAATTGTCTGTGGAATAAGAAAAATATATAGTATCCTAAAAACTTTTAGTCACTGGAGAAATTAACAATACTATTTCAGATACCATAGTGAGTCTGAACTGCGCTACTTCACAAGCTGTGATGGCATCAGCTGAGTCCACTCCAGTAGTGGGAAATGCAGGTTTTCATACACTATGCACTGCATTTTCCCCCTTCTAACATGGAAGGGTCTTGCACTTTATTCATTAATGATTCCAAATAGGACAGCACTCAAGACTTTTACATGACATCCAAATCTTTGCTGTTTTAGTAACAGCAATGAGTTCAATTGTCTTCTACTAAACACCTGTAGCTACCACGAGACCATAACCCAAATGTCTGTGTGAGTTCTTTCACCAGATAGACGTCTGAGGTATGAAAACTGCAAAGAACAGATCAGAAGGGAATTTTTTTCAGGATTCATCATCCTGTGTTTTCACCCTTTGAATATGCAGCAGCTGCCATGCTCTGCTCTCCTCCATGTTCCACAATGTATTGAGAAATACACTTAAAGAAAATATGAACAATGTACATTGAGAAATTACAATAAAGCATGAAGCGACAAAGCTAACAGTAAGAGCAAGCCAGACAGCCAAGAGATTTGGGCAACATAAGAAATAGCAAATGTGCTTTGTCTTCTGCCAGCGTATGGCTTCCCAGCTTTCCTTTGTCCTTGCAATGTTACAGCGCTGTCCTAATCCATGCCTCAGAAGTGTGTATTGGGTTATATCACTGTGGAAAAACAACTGATTTCCCTCTGCAACATGTAGAGTTGACAATTTCACCCTAACAGTGGTCAAACATTTTACCTACCAATCCACCAAGTCCTTTATTTCACAGGTATCTAATCTTTGTTCAGAAAGAATTATACAGTAAGCCTTGACAGGATGGCATATTGGGCCTCCATCTCTGCTCGACTCTGGGGGTGTCATTTCAGGTAAAACTTGAAAATGCTTCATTTTTTTCCTTGAAGTGCTTAAGTCTGAAAGCCTGGTGACTTTGGGTTCAGAAAGAAGGTAATCACCCTTCCATGTGCATTAAAACAACAACAGAACTACTGGCTGTTGTCTCATAGACAAGCAAAAATATGTTTTCCTTCCAAAACAAGCCAAATACAAATGAAGGTGGCTTGGCATAAAAGCCAGAGGCCACGCGTGAGCCGGAGGAATGTGGTACAACTGGAGTCTGGCTGCTCAACCCAGCGCGTGTTCCTTCTTCCTGTGTGTCCTCACCCACCAGTCATCATGGAAATTAGAGAAGTGCACTGTACGAGACTCCTGTTTACCACAGAGCAATGCACACCTACTGTACCCCGACCTTTGGCTGCAACCAAAAATAACTTGGCGCAGAAACACATCACTCGGCAGTCACACAGGGAGAGCGCACTGGGGTAATTTGGCAATTCTTCTCAAAGCTGGATTAATGGGCACAGAGTCTAACTAAACGCAATTACCCAAATCACGTCCATCACATCAGCAAAAAGTTGAATGATCTGTCAAGAATCTGGGACTAAATTAAGTTCTTACTGCTGAGGGAAGACAGAAATATTTGTGAGAGCCTGCAAAAATTGCAGCTCACCACGCACTTCAGCAATTGCGTCAAACAGCTCCTACAAACTTCTGCAGCAGGTTTCTCCTGAGCAAACATTTCCATTTCTTTATATAGCTCCAACATTAATTGCACTGCATCCTGTAACTGATTTTTCTCTATATATCTACAGCCTTTTGATTTGGCAGAGAAACAAAACTTTAGATGAATTATTATAGGAACTCCCATAAAATGTAAACTGAGAGGAGAAAACTCAACATCTCAAATTATTCATTAAATGTCTCTTTTTCCTCACGTTTTACCATATTAAGCTGAGATTTTTCTGAGGTCACCTGCCTTATTCCCACATGCTCATAGTTAGAGAGAAACAATCAGAGGAAGGACTTCCTAATCTACAAGAACTGATTAATGCTGAAGGAGCTGAGGACAGCAACAGGTACCCCCATTACTGTACCTATTCACTATAATAAAACTCCATCACTGCAAAAAGTCACTATTCCTGATTATAAGCCACAGCTTAAAGAAGTCAGACAGGCTTAGACATCACAATTACATTGTCTTTGGCTTTTGCCATCTGCAGATGCAGGAGACAAAGCAATTCAGTACGCCTGTAAAACACACTCTGATAATTTCTGCATATGACAGGCTGGAGTAAACTCCCGGGAGGAAGAAGAGTCTCCAAGCTGAAACCAACATCAAGATACCGGCTTAGCTTTTGAATATACCATGCATTACTAATGAAAAGAAGAATGTCAGTGATGTTTTTACTGGGCGACTTCCGGACGACTCATCCTTAATTACAGCTGTACTTCAATAATTAACCTTAACAGCTCCTCAATCTCTCTCCCTCACAGATACAGGGTGTGATTTTTCCAAACATATGAACTTCAATCTTACTGTTGCTTTTATAAAAGTCCACACACAAAACAGCCCAATGCAAAGAAATCTGAAATAATTCTTACAGTTAGAACATGAAATCATTCATTATCTTCTACAGAAAAATCACAAGAAAATTGTAAATAAAAAACACCATTGGACACAAGAAGTAACACTTGCTTTCTTTCTGCAGGAGGGAACAATCCTTCCCCCTGTCTGTTACACATCAAAAAGACAAATGGGAGGCCCAAGTGACCCCATACACTTCCACATTCTGAATTTCTCACACGGCGCTAATAACTGAGCCACACCAAAAGCCCTTGTCATGACCCTGTCGGCCTCCTCCAGTGCCGGCCATAATGTTGATCTTAAAATTAGCCCAGGTACTACTAGAAGGCATAAAAAAAACAAATAAACAAGGATGACAGTAAACACATTCCGAAATCCAGCCAGTTAAGTGCACCTGTCCCTGCATGACTTTGGCATGGTGTGTGGCCACCGTTTCAAAAGTCACTGCCTCCCTCTGTGCTCCCATTGCAAGAGATTCATAGACATCCACTCACTGCATAGAAACACAGAAAACTGACCTCTGAAGTGACAAGTTCCTTCTCACTTTTGTATCTGCCATTTGAAGTATTAAGCATAGAACACAGAAAAAACATTGTTTTAAACAAAATTCCATTATCTTCAAAAGAACAAGAAGAAGCCCAAACTTTACAGAGCTTTGTTCCTACACTTTCCTGCTGCAATCAAGTGGTCTTATGTTACGTACTTTGTGTTACTCGTATATCTGACGTTGTTTCTTTACTTCATTAATACGAGGTTGCCATTTTCAGTAAATTGTGCTACTGCTTGGGTAAGTTCTGAGCAGCTGGAGAGGCAAAGCCTGGGGAAATTGAGCATATAGGGAGTCCCCAGGAGAACAGAACAGCAGTGATCCCCACAGATGGAACCACAATGTCCAGGCAGAGGGGGGAAAAAAGACACACAGAAAAAAAAAAAAAAAGACAGAGACTTACTTGCTGCAGTTAAGAATCACAGTGTAAATATACACATTTTCTAGCCACAGATGAATACGACAGTCAAATCACCTTAGGAGGATGCAGTGAAAACTGTCAGACAGAAAAACTGATCTTGTTTCATGTGAGAAGATACAAGGAAGTCAGAGAGAGGGTTTGTTTTTTTCCCTAACAAGCTGTTGCTTCTGGTACTTTGGCTAAGACTGTTGCTTTATGTTTTTTCTGATGTGCACAGAAACTTCCTAAGCCTTGGTTAATACATAGCTACAGTGCTTCTCCTGTAATGAAGGCTACAGCTGAATTTCTATATTTAAGCCTGATATTTAGCCAAAATCTTAAGTCTACAAAATGGGCAGGAATATAAGAGTTGGTTTATACTCCAACTTCCAAATCCCAATTTTTTGTGGAAGCTACAGATTACCCTGAGCAGTCTCACACAAACACAGGTTTTCCATCTATTTTAGAATGACTAAATACAGTTTGTGGTTCCATGACACAGTTTTTTCACATTAAAAAAAAAAGAAAGAAGCAAGCCCATCCAGTGGCAGACTAAGGTCTCAATTTTGCAAGCTGATTCATGCTGGCTGACACCCTATGCCCACTCCCACTGATATTCACGGCAGAAAAAACACCACCGTCCCAGTGGCTGTTTGTGTGCTTGGTAGGACACCAAGAGCCTTTGGTGCAAGGACCATACTGCACCACATGCTGCTTACTGCCTTCCCAAAATAGTTCAAGAAATCACTCTCAACAGCTGCTAATGAAGCTACAAATGAAGGACCAAGAACATGGAGTCAGCCAAAAAAACAGAGCTATTCTGGAGCCGCTGTGGGGCAGACTTTTTAAGAATCTGGGACGGCCACGCTGTGAACAACAGCTACAAAGGGGCAATCTGCATCTCAGTCATGAAATAACGATAGTTACTTAAAGATATGTGGCTCCTTCAGCGACCCTTCCATAGGGCCAATGCTCTACAAAAAGGTGCAGGAAGATGCGTGATTAATTGGTGGGATTTTTGTAATTTTAAAGAGGTGCCTACGATTAGGTCTGCTTATATAGACAATAAATAAAAGTGGCGTTTTCTCGCGTACCTTCCTGATTTCATTCAGTGTTTACAGAGACCACTGTTTTAACACATGCTGCTTAAAATAGATATGCATTTCAGATATCCTACCGCACGGCTCTCTTTTTGCCCTGAACTGTCTGGAGCTTCTGTTGGCTACATCAACACGGGCACGCCTGCTGGCAGCACCACCTGACTGAATGAAAGCAGGGGCGCTGTATTACTAATTATTATTACTATTTTAAGCAAAACGCTGTGGGTGCTGCTCTGCCCGCTTGCCCCATCCCCCCTACACCACCACCCCCCCCCCAAGCAGGCAGCCCGGCGGTGGGCCCGGCAGCGGCGGGCCCGTCCCCCGCCCCGGTGTAGCGGCTGAACAGCGGGGAAGAGGGATGAACCACCTTCTCCCCACCCCCCCACCCCTCCAGCCCTGAGGGGAGCGGGGGAAGGGCAGCCCAAGTCAAGGCAGGGTGCTCCTTGCCCCAGCTCCGGCGACGGGGCAGGGGGGCAGAGAGAGGGTGTCCCGTTCCGCTGCCGTCCCCGTCCCCTGAGGGCCGCCAGTACCTCTCGGAGTCGCGACCGTCGAAGAAGACGAAGTCTCCGCTCTGGACGCACTTGGCGCAGGTGAGGCGGCGGCGCGTGGTGTTGCAGAGCGGGCACCGCTCCACCGCCACATACAGCCCCTCCGCGTCCTCCTCGGCACCCCGCAGAGTCGCCGGCCCGGCCCCGACGCCGCCGCCCTGCCCGCCGGGCTGCGGCCGGCAGCCGCTGGGAGCCGCCATGATGGGCTCCCCGCGCCTGGGTCACGTGGGACTTTGTGTGCGAACAGGGCATTGTGGGAAGCGGGCGCTTGGCTTCAGTGCTCGGGCCGGCCCCCTTCGACCCCAGCCCAGCGCCGGGCGGCGGTGAAAGGAAAGGGGGAGCAGTCCCAGCTTCAGCAGCACGCACTGGCACTGCAGGACCCCTGGCTGGCGGCAGCACCCGCTGGAAGAGGCAAGGCTGCCCCCTCCCTGCTCCCAGAGAGGGGGGACATGGTGGGTGAGCTGCGGTATACAGCGGGCGGGTCAGCCCGGCTCCACTGGGACTGGGAGGGAATTGTGCAAATCTGAGGTAAAACAAAAAAGAAAAAAGCTTGGAGAGCTTAAAGGTTACTGTTTAAAGCCTGCAGTAAGCAGCGTGGTTATATTCTGCTTCCTGCGGTGCTGGGTGCTCGCATGAACCTCAACAGGCACTGCAGGTCTGTAACCATTGCATGCCCCAGGGGGGGACATCTTCACTAGTTACCCTCACTGCGGTCTCGAGGGGGCCTCCTGCGCAACAGCCAGTCAGGAACACTGCTGCATGGGCTACATAGAGCAGCCAGCCCCTATATGTTTATAATACCACCAACACTAATCTTTGTAAGAGGACAATTTGAGCAATAGAAGTGTCAAATCTTGATACACATCCTTAAGAGTGACAGACTAAGACTCTTCACCACAGCCGAAAGGTTGGAGCCAGAATCAGGAGTTAAATAGGTACAATCAACTACTATGTAGAAATAGAGAGCAAGTTCTTTCCATCAGAATATAGTGGGAAACACCAGGCAATTAGCAGAGACAAGACAGAGTCCACAGAAGCCAGAATAACTTGAAGCAAAAAAAAGAAACAAAACATGCCCCAGGTAAAATAAAATCCCAGCCTACACTGTTCCCATTCCTAGTGCACTGAAGTGCCAGAAAACACCAGAACAAAGACAGTTGTTTCTAAGAGTTACCAAAAGCAAACATTAACTTAATCAGTAACTCAGTGAAAAGGCACAGAGCTCATTTCTTATCTTTAAGACTGTATCTGTACTTTTAAAGAGCATTAACTTTACTAGTGAAATTATGTGGCAAGCTCTTAATTAAAATGTAATTTCTTGAAGAGGGGTCATCTTAGATAAACTTTTCCCAGCATGCCAATAAAAGCAGGGTTGTTTTTTCACTTGCAAAAGATTATTGTAACTTAACCTCATAAGCTATTACAGCTACAGGACAAATGAAACTCACACCCATAGTTAAGGAAAGTCTGCAGTGTTAGAAAACAGAGAAGTAAGCCTCTGTTTAGAATAGATTTGAGTATGGAAAGCCACAGTTTGACTGTGACAAAGAAACTGGTAACAGTTAAGATCAGTTTATCATAAGGAAGTGCATGAAGTTTCCCAAACTTCTTTTCCAGAGGAGCAGAGACACACTTAGAAAAGCACTTGAAATATATTACAAAAACAGAAGTTGAAATCGTGTCTTCACTGAATCAGAAATAAACTTGTGACAGCAAAACTAAGCCCAACAAGACTGCAACACCCTGTCGTGTATTAAGCCGTTGCCCATATTGTGTATTTCCATAAAGGACAGACCAAGCTTTTGGCCTGGGTTACACTTAAATCATCTAACAGCAACCTCTAGTGGCGTTTCCTGACAGCTATCTCATCTTCAACAGGAAGCAAGGGAAGGACCCAAGACAAACTTAGAAGCACCAAAGCCCTGTCCCAGAAAACACAACCCTGCTTCCTGGGAAGCATGGAAGATACCAGAACAGTCAAGAGGTAGTCTTTGCAGTGCTCCTACTTTGCAGCGTTCCTGCTTGCGTCACCAGTCTGAGCATGACACCTTTTGCAAAGGAAGCTTTGCGTTTCTTGGAGAAAAAGCAAAGTACAAAAACCCCATTGTTTTACCTGAAAAATTACAAAATTTGATATAGTGCCACTGGTTAAAGTCTGTTAAATATCCCATATAACTGAGCATCCAAGCCTTTTTGTATTTTCCTCAAGACCATTTTAGAGGCAGTTCCCTAACCAACATGTTCTTGTCTGTCTCAAGCAAGAAACTCCCATCACCTGAGGGAACTTCAGCCATAACAAGTGGGTCCCAATTTTGTTAAAAATCTAATTGTCGTGACAAATCAGATAATTTGTTTAGTTACATCACCCCCCACAGGCTTTTTAGGTATGTTCCAGCAGTCAGGGGCCTTGAACATTTTCTCTGTAGAAGGAGTACCAGCACCATTACACACGAGAGTGTATCCAACCAGCAGGATCAGAAGGATTTGGTATATGTCCTCTACAAGCAGTCTTCAAAACTCTGAAACCAGCTCATGCTGGATTTTGTAAGCTATATTGTAGATAAAATACATTTTTAGTTTAAGTATGAAAATACAACATTGCAGGATCTAGGTTGCAGTACACTTAATGTTGAGGATTTTGATAAAGCTAGTTTGAAGTGCAGCGTTGTCTTAGCCGTTCAACAGCAGGAAAAGACACATGGTTCCTATTACAAAATACTTTTAAGTGCCACCTTAATATACATTCTATTCAAAGTACATTTATTTGTCAAATTTTTCAGCTTGTCAGAAGCTGTCAGAACACAAGTGGGTTACAGACAGCTAATCTGAAAGCAAAAAACTTGGCAATTTCAGAAACCATAGAAAGGCATCAGCATTTATAGCATTCAGAACAGTATTGTTTGCTTAATAATCCACAGCAGCACAGGTGGGTCCAGGAATACCCTTGCTTCTGTTCCATGCATAGTGAGACAAGCCCATGTATTATTCTTAGTTGCTTTGTGGACCATGTTATGGTTTCTTGAAACCTTTTAGAATGGGGTAGATGTTCTCAAATGCCTCATAGATTTCAGAACGCTCTTTTGCTCCTAAAAAGACATTTAGAGAAAAAAAAAACACAACCCAAGAATTAACAGAGTTAAGAATAACTGAATACAACTCAAACCTAACAAGATTACAAACCATGAAGAAACAGGAATTGAAAGTAACTTACTATTAGTTTGAGGCAGCATTTCCATCACACTTCCTCCACCTCAGAAAGAATTTCTAGCTTGCTTTCTTTAAGACTAACCTTTTGTTTAATCTGTGAAACCAAACCGGTAGTTAGCTACTCTTGACAGGTGCAAAACATTGGCTTTGGGGGGGGGGGGGGGAGGCATCTGAGAGCCACCATGGTGTTATCTGCTTAACAGGGGCAGCTATGCCTGTCAATACAGTAGTGGGAAAACGGACAAGAAATCAAGGATTTTTATTTTAATACTGGCAGTTGAGCCACACTTTGAGAACTCCCCATCTCCAGTTCTGAGAAGCTATTTTTAAGCTTTGTCAGGGCACCTGTGATTTCAAAGCTAGCCTTTTACCATGTTACTGCATGTAAATCTTTAATACCAAGTCTTGTACACTAACTGTATGCAGTAGGCAGGAATATTGCATACCACTGACACTATTGTGTTAGTACGACGTACATCAGCTACAAGAAAACTGCATTTAAATGAATTAGCAGTTAGATTAAATGCTGCTCAGGATGACTGTGCAAACCCTTCCCTCAGAACACACTTGGACATGACTAATTCACCTGCATTACTACAACCTTCTCTTCCAAAGTAAGGTTACTTTCAAGTTGCTTTCTCAATTAGGAAAAAGCACCTCTCCGCTCAAATTCAGTTCTCTCCTTAACAGTTGGGTCCAGTGTTCACAGACAGGGGCTTACCTTAATGCTTCTGGGCCTCCTGTACACTCAAGGGTACTACAATTACTGTAAAAGTAACTTGCAAAAATGCAAGTTATCTGTGGAATGGAACTGTCCAGTGTTATTTTACTGGACACAAGAAGGTGGGGGAACATTGGAGAAGCATTTAAGCTTAGTACAGAGCGCTCCATTTTCAGCTAACTTGTGATTTATGTTAGCAAGAATCTCTGGCTAAGGCAGGCACTTCCCTTTTGTCTTTCACATAACTCAAAGCATTCAGGTCCTCTGGGGACAAGTACCATTTATATTTCAGTACATCAGAATAAAAGTATTTCACAAGCTTTGAATAAGGATGTGATAGGAACATGCACTTGGGAATTCAACAGTTTTTGACATGGGGTCTGAGGTACAGATATCTACTGAGCACGCTTACTCAGCAAGGCTTTTGCCTCATGAGTGTTTTGGCCAGACAGTCTGGAACAAGTTCTTAGATCTCCACCCTTTCCTCTAATAATCCTTCTAAATGTTTAAGTGAAGTGCTTTAAGAAGTTTGCTTCCTGTCCAAGTAATTTTAAATTGCTTATTGTGATATTCATATGTAAGCAACTGAGTAATTACTAGCATGTCATCATCTTGTTGGGATTCTGTACATTGACACATGGCATTATGCTATGAATAAAGATACTCAGATTTAATGACGGGGAAATCTGAGACAGTACGTGAAGCAGTATGAGCTTCTAGTGCAACAATACAGATATTGTTATCTGTGGAAAACACAGATAAGCAGCTGTAGGCATTAAAATGATTGTCGAGTGGCTCTACTGTTACAAGATAGGCATTTAGCTAATGTTCAATTTAAATGCTCTCAGAAAATGTGGTGGCTCTTGATTACAGATATATAGAGGGAGACCACTTACCAGTCAGTACAACTTTTCCAGACACAAAGATAAGCAGCACTATCCTTGGTTTGACCATCCTATAAATAAGGCCAGGAAACAGTTCAGGTTCATAGCTGTTTCAAAACAAGGAGGTAAGATGAGTAAAATGCAAATACTGTTTCACTGTTGTACACATGAAGTGCTCTTTAATTATATTAGCAATAGAATAGTTAAACCTAGGTTTTGGCTAGCTACCCAGAGAAAGGCAGGTCAGGTTTTAGATATCTTTAAAAGAAACCCAGTCATCCCAGTTG